CAACAGCACTGTGTCGTCTACTCCTGAATCCTCTGCCTCTGTTGAACCGGTTCTATTGGAATCGGAAAACTAGAGAGCAACCCTGTATCCTCCGCACTAGGACAGGGTTGCGTTGACTGTCACAGTGCACTGGAGATTGTAACCCTCAACACTGCTGCTCTTTCCAATCATTCCCTAACTGTCTCTCTCTCATCTGAAGTCAGCTCCAGATCGGAGTCTGACAGTTCTCCCATTTCTACTATCCTTCATTTTCTCACACTTGTTGATTCTGGCTCTAGCCACTGCTTTGTTGATTCAAAGTATGTTGAGGATCACAATCTCCTTACCAAATCCATCCCCCCTGTCCAACTTTGACTTCTTGATGGCTCTGTTGGATCTCACATCTCCCAATCTATTTCCTTCCCAATCTGTTTCCCTTCCAGAGACATTCTTCCTATTGACTTCTATGTCACTCGTCTAGATTCATCTTGTAACGTCATTCTGGGATACAACTGGCTCTCCCGCTACAATCTGTTGATTGACTGGGTAAAGCACAGTATCACTTTCCATTCACCATTATCGGTTGTTTCTTCTTCAAGCACTTCTGCGGCTGCTGACACACATGTGCCAGTCCACTCAGACTCTTCCAGTCCAATCCAACCATCACCATCTTCCACTCCAAAATCGAGATCCCAACAGGCTCTGCCACCTTATGAACCTATCTATTCCTACCCTACCATTCCTTCCTTTGGTGCTTTGGCTGCCCCCAAGATATCTATTATTTCGGCTGCCACTTTTGCCTGAGCTTGTGCAGAAGAAGGGGCCCAGCAGCTCACATTACAACCTTCTATGCCTAGTGTTAGTGGCAAGTCTACCTCCGTGGCTCCCACTGACTTATCTGATGTCCCACTGGAGTACCATGAATTTGCTGATGTATTCAGTGACTCTCTTTCTGAAAAACTCCCTGAGCATCGCCCCTACAACCTCAAGATCAATATTGAGGAAGGCTCCACTCCTCCGCTCGGTCCCATTTATTCCCTTTCTGAATCCGAACTAAAAGCCTTATGTGAGTTTATTGATGATAATGTCCATAATGGTTTCATCACTCCTTCCCGCTCTCTGCACAGAGCTCCGGTACTGTTTGTCAAGAAGAAAACCAGTGAACTTAGACTCTGTGTAGATTATCATGGCCTTAATAAAATCTCTAAAAAAGACCATTACCCTTTGCCCCTCATTTCTGACCTCCTTGATTCTGCATGTTCTGCTTGTCTCTACATCAAGCTAGACCTTCATGCCTACCATTTCGTCTGCATAGCTGAGGGTGATGAATGGAAAACTGTGTTTCGGACCCGCTATGGCTCCTTTGAATGGCATGTCATGCCATTTGGACTCACCAACGCTCCCGCAGCTTTCCAATGCTTTGTCAACATCTTTTCCGATATGCTCGATGTATCTGTCATCATATACCTTGATGACATCCTTATCTACTCTGACAATCCTGAGGATCACCAAAAACACGTACGCGAAGTCCTTCGCAGACTCTGAGCCAATGGCCTCTACTGCAAGGGTTCCAAATGTGAATTCCGTTGGGACTCCATCAAATATCTTGGTTACATCCTCTCGCCTGAAGGCTTACGCATGTCTGAAGACAAGGTCAAAGCTATTACCGACTGGCTGGTCCCATGCAAGGTCAAGGATATCCAATCCTTCCTCGGCTTTGCCAACTTCTACCACCATTTTATTCATGAGTACAGTGAGATTGTCCTGCCCTTAACATGACTCACTCACAAAGGAACTCCATGGAAATTCGACAACGAATGCCTATCCACTTTCAATGAGTTGAAGTAGGCTTTTACTCATGCCCCTATCCTTACCCACTGGCTTCCTGACCATCAACTGGTTGTGGAAACCAACATGTCCGACTATGCTATTGCCGCCATCCTATCCATTTATCTAGAGGATGGTGAGATCCATCCCATCTCCTTGTCCTGGAGTCTCCACGGCACCGAACTCAACTATGATACGCATGATAAAGAGCTTCTAGCCATCTTTGAAGCTTTCAAATATTGGTGTCACTACCTTGAAGGCTCCGTGGAAGCCGTTGATATCATTACAGATCACAAGAACCTTGAGTATTTCTCTACTACCAAGGTCCTTACTCAATGTTAAGTGCACTGGTCTAAATTCCTCTCCCAATTCAACCTTGTTATTCAGTTCTGACCAGGTAAACTTGGTGGGAAACCAGATGCCCTCACTAGATGATGGGATGTCTACCCTAAAGAGGGGGATAGTCAATATGCCCAAGTCAATCCTCACAATTTCTGACCTGTTTTCACTCAAGAACAACTCTCCGCTTCACTTCACGCTACATTCCTTGAAGGTCCTGTCTTACATGCTAGTGCTATCATGGACATCGACAAGCTCCACTCTGATATCAAGAATACACAGCCGTTGGATTCTGCTGCCACCGAAGGCCTCCAACTTGCATCTGCCCCTTCCAACTCCTCTTGGTGGTCCATGGATGAATCAGGACTACTATGTCTTGACAGTCACATTTATGTCCTGGACTCCGATGATCTCTGTCTTTGCATTCTCCAAAACAATCATGACCACATCTTGACAGGTCACTTTGATCAAAATCAGACCCTCGAACTTGTCCGACAGAATTACACCTGGCCACAGATGCGTGAATACGTTCGCCACTATGTTAAATCTTGCACTACCTGTGGATGTAACAAAACACCTAGACACCACCCTTTTGGCTTACTCAAACCATTGCCGGTCCCAGAACACCTGTGGGATTCCATTTCTATGGATTTCATTGAACAACTGCTGGATTCCAACAGATTCACTGCCATCCTCATAGTCGTCGATCGTGCAAGTAAGCAAGCAATTTTCATTCCCTACTCATGACACCATCAACTCTGAGGAGCTTGCCTGGTTATTTGTTACCCATGTGTGTGCTAAGCATGGTGTTCCCAACCATATAACATCCAACTGTGGCTCCGAATTTATCTCCCAGTTCACTCGTGCTCTTGCCAAAGCTTTGGATATGGAGCTTCACTTCACTTCCAGGATATCACCCAGAGGCCGATGGACAAACTGAACATGTGCTAACCAAACTCTGGAACAGTACATTTGTATCTACTGCTCCTACCAACAAGACAATTGGGATACCTTACTACCCATTGCCGAGTTTGCCTACAACAACGCTCCCAACACTTCCACCAGAATCTCCCCATTCTTTGCTAACAAAGGCTATCATCCCAATATCACCATGCATCCTGAACGCGACTATCACCTCTGCTCAGGGCCTGTGACTTCATCATTAACCTCACGAGCTTCACCAATTCCTTCGAGATGAAATCACTTATGCCCAGTCCCAGTTATAAATTCCAAGTGGACAAGTGACTGGTCCCCAGCTCCTGATTTCAAAGTAGGTGACAAAGTCTACCTCAACTCCAAACATATCAGAACTACTCACCCTACTGCAAAATTTGCCAGAGAAATTCCTAGGACCTGTTTGATATCATTGCTCAGCCCGAATCCCATTCCTTCACTCTCAAACCCCCGTCAGACCTCCGCTCCATCCACCCTGTGTTCCATGTCTCCCAACTTGAACCCGTGGAGACCAATACTATCCCTAACTGTACCCAACCTCCTCCACCTCCAGTTGAAGTCGACAGTGAAGAATGGTACGAGATATCTTAAATCCTTGACTCTAAACTCGACCATCGGTTCCACTTTCCACTCCTATACTGAGTCCAATGGTTGGGTTATGAAGATACTGATGAAGAGTTTGCCTGGATCCCCGCTACAGAATTCTTCGTGGATGAATATATCAAAGACTTCCACCAACGTTACCCAGACAAACCAGGACTGCTATCCAAAGTCACCATCCGCAAAGTCTTCCTCAAACCCTCACCCATTGCTTCTTGACCTACCCATAACTTATCAGCTCCCTATGGTCTCCACTCCTTGAATTTCAAATCAAATCCTGGAAAACTATTGCAAATTACCTTCCTAATTGAGAACAGTGATGTGCTCAGTAATGGGCAGCATGCAAATGAAACAAGCATCTAGATCGTCAATCTAGATACTAAATCACACACACACACACACTATCACCAATGTATATAAGTTCGAGGGTGAGTATGATAGAAGCACTCGCGATGTACTTAGATTTAGATAATCTAGTGGGGTTTTGTCTGAAAACAACTTCAATTCTTCTTTTGATGTGTTTTACACAAAGTACACTAGTCCATGCGATAGCAGGGTTTATGAACTTGTTTTGCAAGGTATAGTCGAGCAAGTTATACTTGTTTTGACGTCGTCTAGAAGAGCTTCTAGTGGACACTTCAAATAATCAAACAACCAAAGACTCCGAGGTCTACAAAGAGTGCAAAATCACTCTACAAAGAACGCACAGGTTCTGACTTCAAGTACAAGACTTGCAAAGAGTACACAGACTCTGGAGTTCCTTGAACTCGATGATTGTTCAAACTTAAAGCATTCTAGGGCTTATTTTACTTCAACTAGATGAGGTCTTTTGACTTAAAGTCGACTCAGCACGTTTAGATTGCTAATCTCGGAGAGAGAGAGAGCACGAGGCCTTTGTCTGTGGAGCAGTTCAATTAACTAGCAAGGCGCAGACACGGGGACAGCTCTACTTCCTACTCAACTCTTCTAGATTACTGTAGTTCACCCTTATGGGTTGACTTTGGTAACTTAATTCACTTCAGTCGAGGATATGCAATAAAACCAGTGATTGATTAGGTAGCTATACAGGCTACTAGCACAAATGCAGGAGAATGCTTTCCTGCCATTATGTGTCTAGTCACTGCTGATTTATACGATTTGTGTTCTAGGTATAGGAGCCCAGTATCTACAGTAATTATGGTATGAGCTTTGGAATTAATACAAATGGTGAGTCACTATCCTACAAGTATCGTGCCATTCTGTAGTTTCTATTCAGTTTGACGCGACTGCGCCAGGTTATTCTGTCACTGAGGAGTGCCCTACTAGTCCATGGGTGCTCCTTCTTCTGTCTGCAAGGCTTGCCGCATGCCGTATGTATGGAATACTGTGGTACTGCGCAGGATCTCGAGGATGTAATCCACTGATCGTGATCGACTGCAGGTCCGAGATTATATTCTGTTGATCACTGCACGATCAAGATCAGGTCATCTCGGTACCCAATGCGGCTATTCATTCTTCCAAGGTTATTCCTTTCCTAGCCTGAGTTGATCTCGAAAGGCTGATCTGTTTCTCAACTTAGCAATTCTTCTTGACAGGTTCTTTCTACTCGTCGAGGCTGACAAGGCATCTAGTTCATTCCATTCTTCAACTTCTTGGTTTTTATACTCATACAGACGAGTCCCCGAGATTTGACTGTAATAGTCTTGTTTAGGTAGGGGCTTAGCTTGGCGTGTTGATGGCTGGTAGAATTGACTCTTCGAGACATTGTTTCTAAGTCTGTTCTGTACTGCCGTGCCTTCATTCTTTATGTAGTATTTAGCTACCAGCACGAAGCCTCCACTGTAGCTCTCTGTACTGCTTGTAGATTGCATAAACGGATGTAAAATCGCAAAATCTACAGGTAGCCTGATACACGTATCACCGCATCATCCAAATACCTCTTCCACAACGCCCACTCAATCTGACAGCCTCCGAGTGCATAGAACTTGTCCCTTGTGTCCAAGAAATGGATCGCGACTGTTTGATGGCCAATTGAAGACCGTCTTTCCCGAGACAGCCATACCAAACTTGCATGTTGGTGACCTTGAAGGGATCCACAGTGTTGAGGGATTTGGTACCCATCATGTGGGCATTCCACATCTGGGCAACATCCTTGTCAAGTTGCACATACGCATCACAATCCGTAGGGCTTCTGAGTTCACGTTCTTGAGGTTCCCAAGCTCAGCCTTGGACACTGCCCATTCCTCCCTAAACTCCTCATCAACGAAACCTGAGGGCCATTCCAGTGTGTCGCCCTCATGGAAGTCGTCCACAAGGTTATCAACCCAGCTTCCGAGGAAGTCAACCTTCCCCTCTACCCTTTCCAAACCTTCCTGGAAGTTGTCCATCTTGTCACAAAGTTGTTGCAACAAGTACACAACCTCATAGGATCCCAGTGGATCCTGACCCTTCACCCTGGCTAAATATGCACTTGCTCTTCTTCAGCTTACATTGCTCGCAAGTGCGCCTGCAGCGGATAAAACACTTCACGTCGTCTGCCTTACAACGACCACAATGCTCTACAGAACAAGTCAGCATAAGCCACAGGACCCTATGGAAGTCACTTACCATTACCCTTATATTCTTCATCATCCACCTGCATCTCAGGCTCAGTCTTCAATTTCTTCAAAGGCCTTCCCGATGGCCCCATGACCTCCTCTTCCCCACTGACCACCACTGCACTAGACTTGATCTTACAGCTTCCTCGAAATGTCCGTAGCCTCTGAATTGGTCGCCTTGCCCTTACCCTTCCTATCTTTCCTCTGCTTTACCAATTTTTTCAATGCCTTCCCCTTCAGGGTCCTTCTCCCGCTCGTCATCTCTGTCGGACCTACTACCAACCTTGCTTCCCTCATTCCCATCCTACCTTCTCCTTCTCCTTCTCTGCCTCCATGGCCTTCCTAGCTTCCACCAAAGCCTTGGCCTTGGCCTCACCTTCTAACTTCTTCTTCTCTGCGGCCTTTCTTTCCTCCAAGGCCCTGGCCTCCTCTTCCAACCTCTGCTGCTCCATGGTGGCCGCCTCTGCCTTTGCCTTAGCCTCTGTCTCCTCTTGCCATTTCTTCTCCATAGGCCTCCTGCTCCTCCCTCTCCTTCCTTGCTTTGGCCTCCACAACTTTCCTCTCCTGTGCCAACTTTTTCTCTCACTGTTCTAACTCCAGAGCCCACCTCTTTTCCTCCTTTTGCTTCTGTGCCTTCCAGGCCTCATGGGCCTCCACGGCATCCTCCCTAGCCTTCTCCGCAACATCCTGCTCATCATAAAAAGCCTCTAGGTCTTCAGGCCAAATACCTTTGGGCGTTGGGGCAGGTTCATACGGTTCAGGTGTCACAGAAGCGCAGTATTCAATGGTGGACAACATGGCCAACAATGAGGACAAAATGCAGAAAATGGAAGAGATGGTGGTGGAAGGAAGTTAAGAGGTGAAAAACCATGTGACCAACCTGAAAAAATTCCACGTGGTCACACTCAGCCATCAGGGATCTGTGTCCTTGAGAGCAAGAATGCTAAGAGGGGGATACTGTAATGAGCATGCCGACGGAAGTCCAACTTCCACTCAACCCAACAAACCACAGCCCAGAAACCTACAGGAGTCCGATTCCCACTTTCTATTTCATATCCCATTTCATATTCTTTTATATTTCACTTCTCCATTACAATTTATCAATAGCCCAACATCGGTAGTGAATATGTCATCAGACCCCATCAGGCTACCGACCTGGTAGAATACATTCTCCGACAACCCTAGAATGTAGACCACTCTGAGTAGGAACTAGATCGGACTCCTAACTAGTATATAAGCCTTAGAATTACACTGTAGATACTGAGTTCGAATATCAACTTGGTTCAGCCCAATCTCTCTCTCTGACTCTAAGTCACACTCTCGCTCTCCAGTCTGCGGAACTCTGATCCATTGGACTTATCTCTTACCTCGTCTCTGCCACTCTGCGGACTTCCATCCGTATCCATCTTAGGGCTTCAGTTCAGGAGTGATGTTGCTAATAGCTTCGCCTATGCCTGACACATCCTATGGCATTCCGCTATGTGCACTTACTGTCAGCAATCCTATTGGCACTGATCCTAACAGGCTTCAGGCTTATGATGCAGCGTGAAGTTGTACTCTGCTAGCTCAGTTACCCATTGCACACTTGTCAACAATTAAGTTTCTGAGGCTTGCAGAAATACTGAAGGTTTGAATGATCTGTCCAGATCTCAAAGTCTTCTCAGGCTCCCATCAGATAATGCCTCCAATCTTCCAGCTGCAATCATAATCACTAGTAGCCCCTTGTCATAGATCTCATAGTTTCATTCTGTGTCAGGAAAGAGATTTCGATATGAAGACTACTGACCTCCACTTGTTGTCCTGCTCTTGGGACAGTACTGCTCCTATGGCTCCCTCACTAGTGTCCGCTTCTACTTGAAACTTGCCCTCATCTAAGGGAATCGCCAATACAACTCTGATACAAAATTGTTCTTTGATTGCCTCAAATGCTTCTTGTTGGGCGTCTCCCCATTTCCATGCTTCTTTCTCTGTCAGTTTGGTTAACTGGTTTGACTATCTTGCTATAATGCCATATAAATTGTTGATAGAAGTTGGCAAATCCCAAGAATGATTGTAGTTCTCTTTTCTTGGTAGGAATCAGCCACTCCAATAGTCCAGTGATTTTTACAGGGTCCATCTTGATAGATCCTTCACTAATGATGACTCCCAGGTACTCAGGTCTCCTCTACTTCAAACTCACATTTTTCTGCTTTGAGGAACAACTTGTTCTCTCATAATCTCTTGAGCACCTCCTTTACCAGCCTCCTGTGTTCCACCTTGTCCTTGGTGGCAATGAGGATATCATCTAGATACATGGTAACTTTTCCTTCTGCTATCAGATCTTTGAATATATTGTTCATCATCCACTGGAATGTGGCTGGAGAGTTGGTGAGCCCAAAGAACATTACCAGAGGTTCAGTACAAGTCCTTGGTTGGTTCTAAAGGCAGCCTTCCATTTGTCTCCCTCCTTGATATGTACATTATTGTACCCCCATCTCACATCCATTTTTGAAAGATACTTCGCTCCTTTGAGTTTGTCCATGAGTTCCGATATTAAGGGCAATGGATAATGATTCTTAATAGTCATCTCATTGAGCTTTCAGTAGTCTTGGACAGGCCATAGCTTCCCATCTTTCTTCTTGATGAAAAAGAAGAGAGACACCATTGGTGATTTCGAGGGTTGTATTCTCTCCAGTGGACAGATTCTCATCTAGGAATTTGTCGAGCTCCTTTTGCTTGGTTGGATTCAACAGGTATACCTTACAGTCTAGGCTCGCATTGGCATTGGGGATTAGCTCGATGGCATGGTCCCATGGCTTTCATGCAGGCAATTCAGTCAAAGTTGGCTTTATCGAATACGTCTTTGTACTCCTGGTAGTGCTCTGGTACTAACTCCTCAAACATCTTTTCCTCCTTCTTCTTGTGTTCCCTTGCTGCTAATTCATTGGACTTAGTTCCCATAGCCCATACGTGAAAGGCTTCTTCAAAGTCAATTACCAAGATTGTATCTCCTTCTTCAAACTCCTCTTCCCCACTTTGTGTTGGGCCCTTCATCCAGTAGTTTGAACAGGATTTTTCAGCAATCACACCTAGTGAGCACCACTGCTCCAGTCTTCCAATCTATGGTGGGATTGTGATGCTGAAGCCAGTCATGCCCTAGGAAAATGGGTGTGGTTCTGAGATCCATGACCACCAGTTCAATGATCTCACTGTGGTCACCAATTCATAGCCTTACTTCTGCGTATTCAGTGATGTCTCTGCCCTTGTTGCAGGTTCCATCAGCATTATACACCAGGGTAGAACAAGCCACCTTTCATGTGTTAAGGAAGTGACTCTTTGCCCATTTGCGATCAATGGCACTTCTGGGGCATCCACTGTCTACCAGAGTGGTGACATTGTATTCATCTAGGGTATCCACCATTTCCAACTGGAGTTTGATGGTAATGCTCCTTCCTCTGCCTCCTCGTATGTACTGCAGTGGGTGTTGTAAGTTGTCAAGCCACTCCAATGCTTCCTCCCTGTCTAGATACATCTTGTTTGCTTTCTCCTTCAAACTGTCTATCAATTCATCGTTGACTTTTGTTAAACGTCGGGGGTGTACCCATCCGTTCAACACTCCTTGTGCTTTGCTTGCCATTTTGGCTAAATGGAGTGCTCATTGGGTCCAGTCAGGACTGAATGGTTGCATCCATCACCATTCAGGATACTCTGCCAGGAATGAGTACTCAAGGTTTTCCTCTTTCAGTGCTGGGGACTTCTCCTAGTTGCCATTCGCTGTAGGTTTTGTGGCCCTTTGTGCTTCTACAGTTACTGAGCATCCTGCCTTTTTGCTTGTGCTACTAGGGACTTTTCCTGTCAGGGATGGCCTGCATAGGTCTGCTTTTTTAGAGTGCAGCAAACTCTGTCGGTAGCTGAAATTGTCCTCCTCATCTGGGACCTCCTCTACAGTTACTGCATTTTTGGAAGAACATAATGGTCCCTCCTGCCTGCCCACTGAGGGACACAAGCCCCCAGTGCCATTATGGGAATTAGGAAGGTGCACCTGATAAACCCACACCTCTCCATCTGGCTTGATGATGACATCGGGTACCGCAGTGCTTGAAGAAGGCCCATACTGGGGATGCTCATTCTCTGTCACATTAGCATTCCACGATACTAAAGTCTTTCCTCCAGTGACACTTCTCGACATTGACCTGGAGCATCCGGTCTTCTGCTCACCTAGAAGATTGACTCGAGGTTGAGCATCGGTCCTTGTTCAGTGATCCGTGGAGTTTACTGCCAAACCTTCAAGCTCTATTATGCTGCAGCTCTCCATGTCTCTTGCTGGCTCTGCACCAGCTTCTCCCAAGCAGTTTGCTGGCTCCTGCAGGCACTGACTCATTTTAGGTGCGATGCTGCCAGCAGCAACACTGACCTTGCCCACTTTGGTTGCATGTGGGTCACGCTTTCTCAAGAGTTGGTGTTAGCGACTGATTTCACAAACAAGATCAAACAACTAAGCGTGACTCGCACTTCGGTCAGGCGCTTTATGTTGTCCGCAGGTTTGCGTTAAGGGAGCTATCGCTTAGTTGAGCGAGAGTGAGTTCAGACTAAGTTATCGGGTGAATAAACTTTAGTTCGAGACTGAGGTTTAAGACCTGCAGTCGAGCTACTTAAATACAGTTTGGACTGTTCTAAGTATAGTACAAGAGTCTGTAACGGTGCGTTAAACACACGGTACGAGCATGGTGTAGTGCGATCAGAGTCGGAAGATTAGCATAGCAGGATTACGATAGAGTCAATAAGATAAGATAAGGCGTGAAATCGTAATATTACCCCCCTGTTAAGGCAGTCGTCCCGACTGCGATTTGCTTGGGCAAGTGTGCTCCTAGTAGGGACGGTGCATTTGGTTTTACCAGGTACTCTTGTATTGCCTGTACCAAAGGGTGGTCGACTTCTGATTCGGTTACCGATTCTGTTTCTGACCAGGAATCAGTTTCGTCACTGTCTTCCCACCAGTCTGCCGAGGGTCGGGTGATAAAAGAGACTTGTTCGAAGTCTTCGATTGCCTCTCTTGCGTTATCGAGTTCCTGTTCATCGACCCACGTATTTTCCTCCCTTGGATATCCCTTCCACTTGATAAGGTATTCGGTTCTGGTATGGCGTTTGCGTCCTCGCCCCACCGTTCGTTCACGACGATCTACTATTTCTTCCACCTCGTATTGTTCTTGTCCGTCTATCAAGTCCGGTGGAGGTGCCGGAACTTGTACCTGATTGGGGAACTCTGGGGGTTGGTACGGTGTCAACAGGTTTTTGTTGAACCGGTTATGTATTTTCCACGCAGGGGGTAACTGCAGTTCATACGCTGAGGCGCCCTTTTTGGCTACTATTTTGAAGGGACCGACTCGTTTATCTCCGAGCTTCTTCATCGGCCGAGGGAGATGGAGATTGGTGGAGTCTAACCATACTTTGTCCCCAGGTTGATACTCCACCGCTTCTCATTGATGTTTGTCGTACTGCCGTTTCATGGTTTCCGCTGCCTTTTCCAGTGCTTTGGTAGTTTGTTCGTGTATCTTTTGTATGTCGGCTACGAACTCCCTAGCTGCTGGGTTTGTTCCCTCTTTGATTATGAGCGGTGCGAGGTGTGGTCTTTGGCCATGATTGATTTCGAATGGGGAGTAGCCGGTGGCGGAGTGCTTTCGATTGTTGTGTTGAAACGCTGCCAAAGGTAGCCACTCGCTCCAATCATTTTGTCGATGATTGATGAATATTCGAAGGTACTTTTCGATCTCTTGATTCGCTCGTTCCGTTTGCCTGTCGGTCTGAGGGTGATACGCGGT